CTCTTGCCTTTCAAGGAGAATACAAAATCAGAAATTTGCTTTATTCCCAGGCCTGAATATCAAACAGTTTCAGAGAAGAAAATCTCTAAAACCATTCTATGATGCCAGTACTCTACAATTCAAATTAATATTTAAACTACTATTTCAAAATGTCTTAAGTATCAAGCATGATATAAACCAAATATGTTGAAGAATGAATACTTCAATCATTATAATCAAGAAGCATTTATGGGATGCTTAGTGTGTACCAGGCACTGTGCTAGGCACCAGGGACTCAGAGATGAATCAAAAGCTTAATGAAAGAACAATGATGGATTTATGAATCAGAGCTCTGTCTACAACTACAGTGGGAAAACTGTACTTGTTAGCTTCAACCTCTCTGTCAACTCAAACTACGGACTGGAAAACTGGTAAAACTCTAAAACACTTGTAAAAATGTGTACACTTTCAAATACTCATCGGTTCTAATGATTTCATTCAAAGCAGGACAAATTGCTTTGAGCAAAGAATCAATTAGTCTCAATGCCAGATAAGTATTAACTCAACATTTTTCTAAAACTACTGCTTTTAGACATCAGTCTGTTTTTAACTCTGTAGCTATGCTGGATAATAATAATCATCATTAATAATTTAATTCATCTTTTAAATGTGAATGCAAATTTAATCAAAACTGTAACACATCATCTTACTTTAAACTAAACCTTTTCCTTCACTTGACTTGTTTTCATGAATGACAGAAACCCAGGTTCAAAACTGCTAACTCCAGCTCCCCAATTCCCACTAGTTTTAAGTCCATAAGAGAGGCTAAGGATGCCAGAGTATAGTTGCAGTGTTGAGATTTTAAAAGTTTTAAATTCTGCATCTTCATTACTGAATTGTGTGACCCTGGGTGGGTACTTCAGCTCTTGGTGCCTCAGTTTCCTCTTCTATAAAAAGAGAATAACTAATAGCATCTTTGCATAAGGTTTTTGTGGGGATTAAATGACATAATAGCAAAAAAAAAAAAAAAAAAAACAAAAAAAAAAAAAAAAAAATCTAAGTTCCACCACACTCTTAGTAAATGTAAACTCTCATAATTATTGGTGTTGGTGTTATTTTCTCAACAACTTCTCTCATTCATTCTCTTTTCTCTGATCAGTTGCATGGCCTTTGGTCAAACCTCATGTTATTTTGTCTATAATCTTGCAATAGCCTCCAACTCTCTCTATCCATTGTCATTCTATTCTGTGATTTACATCAACAGTGTTCAAAGAAAAATCAGGCTGGGTGCGGTGGTTCATGCCTGCAATCCCAGCACTTTGGGAGGCTAAGGGGGTAGATCACAAGGTCAGGAGACCGAGACTATCCCAGCCAACATGGTGAAATCCTGCCTCTACCAAAAATAGAAAAATTAGCTGGGTATGGTGGTGTGTGCCTGTAGTCCCAGTGGCTTGGGAGGCTGAGGCAGGAGAATTGCTTGAACCCAGGAGGCTGAGATTGTGGTGAGCCGAGATCGCGCCACTGAACTCCAGCCTGGCAACATAAGGAAACTCGGTCTCAAAAAAAAAAGAAAAATCAAGATATGTCTCTACCCTTCTTCAAAATTCTTTAATAATTCTCTTGTGTCTGCAGAGGAAATTCAAATTCTTTACTCCTGCATTTGAAGTTCTCCATCTGGCACTAGCTCACTTTTCCAGTCTTATTTGTCATTACTGCTCTCTGATCACTCATATTCTACCCAGACAAGACAGACATCCCACAGACCCTACTTGTTTTCTGCTCATTGTTCCCAATGCTTAAAATGACTTTGCTCCGTGTCCCTAACCTCTCCCATTCCTTAATAGCCCACTCGCATCCTACCCACCTCATGAATCCCTCCTGAGATTACTGAAGGAAAGTATGTCTTTCTCTTCTGAAGTTTCACAGAACTTTCTTTGTATTTAACAGGAAAATCACTTTATTTTGTTACAATTAGTGTACATTTTCTTCCTCTCCTCCTAGATTCCAGCTCTTTGAGAGTCTGGAGAACATTCTATTTTCTTCATGTTTTCCCTGACATCTATCACATGGCAGCCACTCAAGGCATTTTGATATGTGAGAAAAATAAAATATTATCAGAAGGAATAAAACAGCTTATAAATTGCCATTAAGTACATGAATGAACATCTTTTTAGAGACAGATTACTCAAGAAACGTGAATTCTAGCTCTCCTTTTTAATGGAATCTTTTTTAAACATATTCTAGCAGAAGATCAGGATTAGTCATTATAGCTTTTAAAATAAAAGAAGACACAAGAGTGAAATTCAGAACTATTAAAAAAAGGTATAAGTGAAAAACCAATATAAACAGCTCTCTCTTCATACAGAGAAATTGTAATTTGCTGATAATTGCAAAATTTTAGAGCAAATGCATGCATTTGTAGACTTTTTAAATAATTACTCTGTTCATGCATTTTGGAACACTTTGCATAAACTAAAGTTTCAAAAGCGGCTTCTTCTACAGATAACAGTCTGTAGACTCCCAAACATAATTTCAAAAATAGAGTGCAGAAGGTGTGTGTTTACCCAGCCCTACAAATGAGCTTTTGAGGGGCTGGCGCTCAATGGAGGATGGTATTCCCAAGTCCTCTGCCCGTTCTCTGCACAGTTTCTTTTTTCTTTTCTTTCCTTTTTTTTTTTTTTATTTAATTTTAAACAAGCCTGATTCAACTCAACAGAAAAGCATTGACTTTTGCATCAGACAAATTCCTTAAAAAAAAAATTAGTAGCTTTATTGTGAAAAGTCCAAAAGCTTTGAGGTTATTTTTTTAAATCACAGAAGCAACTGAAAGTATGCAGTCTCTTCTATCTGATTTCGTTTCACTCTTTAATTTTCAGTACGCTTGATAATACATAGAAGGTTCATCTCATCATATCAAAAATAGGCAGGGTTGACGGAATTTGTGATGTAATACAATGCTGTAGTCTTGATGGCACACAGTGTGAAGTTTACACTTCATTTTCTTGTTTATCCCTCTCTGCTTTTCCATGCATTTCGCTTTGGAATTGACTTTGATCTCTAAAATGCCAAAAGACCACCCCAAGAAATGAGTTTTATATCTTTGGACTTGTCTTAAATTTCCCCAAACTATAAAATTATTAGAAACTCCTAAGCACTTCTTCTTACCTAAAAAATCCACAGGGCATATATTTCAGAGTTTATAAAGCAAGCCACTGTCCTGAGCATTTCGTTAGTTCATCGGCTATCATACAAATGCTGAGGGAGTACTCCAGTGAGTAGGTCGCAGGTCTCATCATGAGTGACAGGATAAAACTTGTCAGCCTTGTACACAGTTGGAAGGCACGGCTGACAAAGACAAAGCAGGGTTTAGTTGTGGAAGGCCTTGGGTCCAAGGGGCCAAGCTTACTACAGAAAAATAAAATCACTAGAGAGAAAAGCACATATTTCAAGAAAGACTGAGTCACCAGTTGCATGAACATGGTAGTAAAAATAAAATAATTGAAAGGTACAGGAGCCAGAAAATTGTAAAATAAAGTCAAGGTGAGAGCTATGATGGAATGAATGTCAATCTTTTGGAAAGGTATCAAAAAGGAAAATTAAATAGCCAAGGGTAATAAGACACATATCATGTAATAATTAAAATGTTAATATTTCTTAAACTCTGGAATTAAAGCCAAAACTAAAGAAAGATTCTCTTTCTTGCTTCCGTCTCCAAATCTTTTTGGGCGATACCCAAATATTTCACATAAAGCCATAAACAAGAGCAACAAGCACTTCAGAAAACGTGAAGAAATGTACATTTAGAGGATTTGTGACAGTAGTTTGTTCAAAGCAGTGGATAGTTTGATGAATAAAATAATTTAGAAAAGACATGTCAGGCAGACAGCCAGGCCTAGAGCACCCAGAAGAAGGGAGTCAGGTGAGGTTACTACAAAGAAACGTTCAAATATAAGAAGTGTAATCAAAAACACATACAGAAATGAGAAGGAAACAGTCACTATTTAAACCATTTGTAACAGAGATTTCAAATTTGCACGCTCAAATGTGTAATGACATATAGCCTAAATTTCTTCTTCAACCAAGCAAATTATCCTCTTGAGCCCATCCTGATGGGGAATAGGGAGACTGAAGCTTGCTAATTAGCAACATGGTGGTCAATCTCTTCTCGATTACATTACTTCTTTTGAACAAATACCTTCCCACTCTTTGCTCCTCTCCAGGTTGGCATCTGGGTGAATATGTGCCTCGGGTTCCTACAGACCTAACGTATGTTTCTCCTGCACACACCTGAGAGGTGCCAACCTCAGAGAGAGAAGCAAAGGCATGTTCATGTGCCACTGGGCTCTGCCTTTGGCTCTTACCTGCAATTCCCCAGGGTATCAGGAGTAGACTTTGTGACTCTGTCTTGGGCATGACCTTACCCTGTGCCATATCCTCTTTCCTCCCTGGAGAAGGAAGCCTCAATGTAGGCCCATATCTACAAACCCACCTATTAATATATTAAAGCGATCTAATAAAAGAATACAGCTTTCCACAAAAACAAGCTCTTAAGATTATTGTCTTTCTGCAAACTGCCACACAAAACAAACTCCGAAAACCTGTTACTCTGAAGGTCAAACAGTGAATATCAGCTCCCTCCTTTTCTTCTCGTTCTTGCTATAATATTCCAAATGATCTTCAGCGTATGCCTCTGGAGGGGTGGAAGCAGAGGATATGAACAAGAGAGTGCAAAAGAAAAAAAAATGGCACACGGACATACATCAAAAAACAGGATCTCTATCACACATTGGTTAAGTTATCATGTGCTAGGCCCTATCCTTGAGCATTGCATATTTGATATGATTTATTTTAGTTACATTCTCATGCAAGAGCTAGACCTGATTATTCTACCCTCTCTGCTACCTCTCTTTCTCTGTCTATTAAAGTAAACACATACATTTCCACAACCATCTCAAAACACTGACACTGAAAACTTTGACCAAATGACTGTAATGCATGAAAAACGATGTGTACAATCTCACCTTTCTGGTGGGCTTTCACATTGAGAGCTGAGGTTCTGTATCTGGAATAGTGGTCCTAATAGTACAATGCATTGCATTCTAGTCAGGTCTGATACATTTTCACTGCTTAAATGTGCTAATTGGAAATTCTGAGAGCTCTTCTCCTCCTTTCTTTGGCCCTTATCCCCTAGAAAGAAAATGGGTAGGGAATGTAAATAGACAAAATTGGATTAAAACACATTTTGTTTTTGAAAAAGTCTCAAATTCTCCAAAAATTGTTAGAAACATACTAGGAGGTCACAGAATGGAAAATGGTGTTTCAGTATTACATACAAATACTGAACTTCTGATGCTAAACAATAAGCATCAACCAAATAGGTGTTATTTCCAACTTAGAAATAGAAGAAATTGAGACCTCTATTTACTGGTTGTTTATTTAAGATATTCAGAAAGGAAAATGAAAAATTCAAATTTCTAGTTTTCTTTTCTCAGTGCATAGCATTGTGCTTTCTGTCTGGGACAGTATAAAGGAGATTATGACCTGTTAGAAGAATCACTGATACCAAGGTAGAATGGCATATGCTTTACAATAAAGTAGAAATCATATTCTGTGGGAACATAGAGGAAGAATCAAAAGTGTTTATTCGACTAAGTTTATTTAGCACCTATCATGTGCTACAGAGTTTCTTCATTCCTTAGAAAATAAATATTCATGAGCCAAAAATGTTGAGATGAATGGACAGACGGACAGACGGACAGACGGATGGATGGATGGATGGATGGATGGATGGATGGATGGATGGCTGGATGGATAGATAGATAATAGGTAGGTAGGTAGGTAGACAGGTACATAAATATGATACATGATACACTAAATGTACATACACAAAGTCTGTGCCAACTGTCGACACGTAAGAGAGTGGTTAATTCTGTCTGTATGATGGTGATAAAGGAGATGTCAAGAAAGGAGGTGATGGGCTGGGAATGGTGGCTCACACCTGCAATCCCAGCACTTTGGAAGGTGGAGGCAGATGGATCACCTGAGGGTAGGAGTTCAAGACCAGCCTGGCCAACATTGTGAAACCCCGTCTCTACTAAAAATACAAAAATTAGCCAGGCATGGTGGCAGGTGCCTGTAATCCCAGCTACTTGGAGGTTGAGGCAGGAGAATCACTCAAACCCGGGAGGCAGAGGTTGTAGTGAGCTGAGGTTATACCATTATACTCTATCCTGTGTGACAAGAGGAAGACTCCATCTGAAAAAAAAAAAAAAAAAAATGGAAGTGATTTTTTTTTAAGGTACCATTTAAGGTAAGTTACATTTCTCCAAGTGAAGAAAAGATGGAAGACACTATAGGATAAGGAAACATAGGACCAAATGCGAGACATTTCAGGAAAAGCCAAGTTGTGCGGTATAAAGTGAATCAGGGAAGGGCTAGGGTAAGGTTAGAAAGATAGGCTGGGGGTCAGGTTGCCAACAGCCTCATCTGTCTTTCTAAGGAGTTTATCCTCTAGCCCATAAGAAAACTTCAAACAATTTTAGTGCAAAGTGACATGATAAATTTTACATTTTAGAAAGATCATTCTAGTCACAGTGGCTGGTGGAGAGGTCGAGTTTGGGTGAGCATATTAATGAACATGTATAACCGTAAGTGGCATTCATTGACCATATTTGGAAGATGCTAAAAAATTTTGAGATGCTGAATATTTTCCCTTCAACTTACAAACAAAATTTTCCAAGTGCTATATATTTTACACAAAGCCACAAGAAGTAATATAGAAATAATCAAACCAAAGCCCTTGACATATGGTATCATCCTATCATGAAGGATTTATATTTCCATCTAGACCTGCAGTGACAGTCATGTCTATCTCTTCCCCAAATGCAGAGCACAGTTTATCACCACAGTCTCAGAACAGTCTATCCTTCTTACATTGCCAACTCATATTTCTTCTAGTCCTTAGATGGCCTGTTTTGTTTGATTGTTTGCTTGTTTTTGAGATGAGGTCTTATTCTGTCACCCAGGCTAGAGCGCAGGGGCTCAATCACAGCTCACTGCAGCCTTGAACTCCTGGACTCAAGCAATCCTCCCTCCTCTGCCTCCCAGGTAGCTGGGACTATGGATGCACACCACCATGCCGAGCTAATTTTTTTTTATTTTTTAAAGACATCATCTTGCTGCATTCCTCAGTCTGGTCTTAAATTCTTAGCCTCAAGTGATCCTCCTGCCTCTGCCTCCCAAAATGCTGGGATTACAGTTGTGAGCCACCCTACTGGCCCTCCATTTTTTCTGAGCAAACAATTCTTCCAACACTAGATACCACTGGATGGATGAGAAAACTCAGAAAAGTATGATTTTTTAATGTGGTTTATAATGTAGTGCGATCAAGTTACGTACTCAAAAACAAACCAAGTGTGATTGATACTCTGTGGGGATTGGGCATTAACTGACCCTTTGTAGGTTGACCCAGGAAGGCTCTGTGCTGGACTGATCATTACAACTAAGTCTTTATGATGGTTAAGATCTCAACCAGATGTGAGAAATTTGGTGAGGGAGTAAACATGAACATAGGTACGAAGACAAAGAAGCACAGGAAATGATTGAGAATGGAGATTAGTCAAATTCCCTTGGCACAGTGTTAGGAGTGAAGAAGAGTGGAAAACAGAGAAAGATTAGTGTGAACAGACTACATATAGACAAGAAACCTTAACTCTTGTAGAACCATTGAAAATCTTTAAATGGAACAGTAAAAGTTAGTTTCCATTGAATTTGATGATGAAAATGGGTCTTTGAGATTATCTAGTTAAATCACTGCAATTTTTTTTTATGATGAGAAAGCTGAGACTCCACAGACGTTACACAACATACCTGGGGCAGAGAGCTAGTTATTGACTGCACAGGGGCCAACTTGAGGTCTATTGACACCCAGCCATGCCACTGACTCAGCCACGCTGCCGGTCATGGTCTAACCCTGAAGCTGCCCAACTCCAGCCAAGGCTTCTCCAACATGACAATCTCTCTAAATCCAATTTTCTGTCCTTTTCACTCCCAAGTACTTAACGTCTCTGTGACGGCATTACATAAGTGTGTGGTGTCCATCTTTCCACGAGCAAGAGTTAGATGTCTACATGTAAACGTGCACGTGATATGTTTATGTGCATTTTTCTTGCTTTCAAACTTACATTAGAAATCGTCTAGGCAAGTCCCAAGCCCTCTCTTTGTGAATTTTTCCATCAACATTGCCTGCAATGTACTAAAAAGATAGACATTCACCAGAAAAAAATAATCCCGGAGGTGAGAATTTAACCAGGATTACAAGGTTAACAAAGTTATAGGTAAGAGAGAGCTGGTAGCTGCTGGTTGCTTAACCAATATAAATAAAATGTTACTGTGGTCCTGTTCAGGAGTTCTGCTGCCTTCTGCATTGTTGCCTGGAGGTAGAATTTCAGGCAGGGCCATTGCAAATGGCTATTGAAGCTTGGGTCTGTGGTACCTGTACCCATAAGCTACTGAGAATCAGCCTCTCAATGCCTCAGGCTCTCTTTGAAGAGGTAGTAGTGACCATGATTCAGGCCTGTGCTCAGAAAGCGAGTTGAAGATTTAGCTACCTTTAGGCAAGATGTTGTAAACTGGACAGGCCCAGCCCCCATCGTTTGTTTTCCTTTCCTGCTTCTATAAGATGTTTGTAGCCCCAAAGGAACAGTGCAGTCTTTGATGGCCATTTTTCCTCTTTTATCCTCTGAAACTTTCTCCGCCTCCTCTCGGAGCCTTCCCGGGCTGCCTGCTAATGCCGTTCAGAGCCTATCTGCTTATGACTACCCAAATAAGGCAATAGTTAGAAATACAATTGAAGTGGCTTCTTCTTTAAATCAACAATAGACCTTGTTCCATTAAAAATATGATCCTACTCTGAACCATTGCAGAAATTTTTTTGATGCTTAAAAAGAAATGTCAGTGAGTAAGGGGAGTGGGGGCAGGCAGAGATTTCTGATGTTATTCTTAATTATTTTTACTCCATGTTCTCTGTACCTTTGGATCTAGCTGAGACAGAAACAGTGAAATGCCATAAAATAACCCTCTCTCGAAGTATATTTGGCCTCACAGGAAACAGGAAATACCAGAAAAGATCACAAGAAAAGCTGTAATCATAAGATTTCTAGCCTAATTCTTTTGACGTCAGCAGTTTAGATAAGTCAGATAAGCAATCGTGAGCATCCGTGAGTTTTTGAGTGCCAATCCAAATACCCACAGGGCATCTTCAACCCTTTTGAACTCTTGCATTGTTGTTTAGCCCCTGTGAGGAGGCTCTCCTCTCTTCCCTGCAAGAAGCATATCCTGAAATTGTGAATTATAGATTTTATGTCAACATTAAGGTGTTCAAAGACATTACGCAGAGCTTCTAAATTGGTCCTGTAGCCAATTCAGCTTGCTAGATGCATTGTAAACGCTGGATGAAGCCAGTGTTAATAAAACAAAGGAAAACCAAGCCTGGTTCATCTCAAAGGGAGTTTGCTTCCTGAAGTTTAAGTTTTCCAATCTGGGTAACTAATCTATGGCCATGTAATTTCTCTGACAATATGCTAAAAGATTTCTTACCATATTCAAAGTATTTAGTAACTCCTTCATTCTTCATTATTTCCACCTTTCCTTAGCTACCACCATCTCCATTGCCGACCACAACAACATATTTATGGGTTGGTTAGATATAAATGGGTTGGTTAGATAAATATGGGTTGGTTAGATATTGGGGAATACACTCCCCTTTGAGACATTTTCCTAACTTCAGAACCAGAATCATGAACTTGACCATTGCATAATAAGCAGAGGCACAGGTATGGGCTGTTCAGGGCTTCTTATAAGAAGCTTACAATGAAACATAAGTACACAAACACATTAAACCATTCTGTCAGGATGAGTGCTAAAGCCATATATAAAAAGTAGGAGGAAGGAGAACAGTTACGTGAAGCAGTTGAGCAAAACTGGGACCTGAACTTCCTAGCAGACAGGGCAAAGGGGGCGCAAAAATGATTATAACATTCATTATCTCCAGGAAGATTTGCTGGGAAGAAAAATAAATATTTTTCCCGGCTTTGGGTATGTGGAGCAGTTTTTGATGAGGACTGTCAGTCTGATACTGGAGGATGTCCTCCTGAAGAGTTTAAGCAAATGGGTAGGGGAGAGTTTTGCAGGCCCTTGCAGTGAAAAATGGTTCCATAAAGAACTGGTGAGTTCCAACTGAGGCCTAAACCATTGGCTCCCCAGGAAAAGTGTAGCCATGTGGGGAAAGTGCAAGTCTCCATCCAGAGTTCAGTTCTTGTGGGCATATAAAGTTAGGGTACAGCACCCCCACCCACAGCATGTTGAACACATGCTGCTAATCCCCTCACGGGCATACCTGCCATTATAATCTTTAAAATGAAAAGAAAAATTAAGCAATGCTCCCTTTTAGATAGTAGAAGTGTTTTTATATTTGCCTTTGGTCTGTGCCGGTATTTGGCTTCAGTTACATACACATTGGTAAGGCGCTCTAACTAGCTCATAGGTGAGTCCTGAGTCTTTTACCTGGTTTTTAACCTGGCACTTCTCTCATATGGCTATCCTCTTCCATCCTCATTCCCCCTGAATTGTGGACATGTTCTTGATCCCTATGTCAGACCAGTTCCAAGGCACAAGCTGGGGTCTATCCCATTGGCTCCATTGAATGGTCTCTGTGTTCTCATGCTGCTAGTAAAGACATACCCAGTTGGAGTAATTTA